AAAGTCAGTTTTTTAATGGGTATGAATATGAACAGCCCTTCACTGAATGAAGTCGTGATTTGGTATAAGATTGGTTGGTCTGTTTTATTTTTGTGTTTTTGAAAGTAGTCTCTTATGCTTATCAAGGCTGCATTTCTTTACAGGAAAAAAAAACAGTAATATTGTGAAATATTATTCCAATTTAAAAATTTTATTTGAATGTATTTCAAAATGTAATTTATTACTGTGATGGCAAAGCTAACTCAAGAAACATTTCTTATTATTATCAATGTTGAAAGCAGTTAACAGTAAACAGTGCCGTTTAATTTTGTGGAAATGATGAATATTTTTTGTAACAAATGTAAAAGTGTTTACTGTAACTTTTGATCAACTTAATGTATCCTTGCTAAATAAAATTACTAATTTCATAAAAAATATCTTACTGAACCCAAACTTTTGAACAGTGGGGTATAGTATTCTCTCCTGTTGCACAAAAAAACAAACAAAAAAAACAAACCTGAATCTGTAAGAAAAAACTGATTAAGGGTCAGACTAGCTAGCTTAACAATCAGGCAAATTAACTGAGACAACAACAATTTCTGTTCCAAAATTCCTGAAACTGAGCTTGTTCGTAGCTTGAGGGTTTAACAGGGGATCAATGTAAAGTTTCTTCCAAGAGAGGCAAGAGAGAAGTAGAAATAGATAAAGTCACAAACATCCACCCCAATACAAGACCCTCAAAAGATGTTTTTCTTAATATTGACCCTATAGACTACTGCCAATCACAACCCAGGCTCACTGGAAAAACATGCCACTGCCTACATAACTGCATAACTCCAAAAACGCAGTTTCCAGGTGAAACGAAAACTATAGGCAGTACAAAATTAACTTTCTGAATGCAATTTTCTGGAACAAAAAGCACAAGCACACACAATAATGCAGTTTGCTCCAAACAATACCATTGTCACTGTTGACATCCGCCATATTGCCAAACAACATGCTCTTGCCTGCAAGTAACTTATACAGAAATTATCCAAAGAAAAAGCAAGCATGCTATGGATTAAACACGCCATATGGTTAAAGCATACAGTGCACAGCATAAATGAGTACACCCCCTCTGATTAAATATAAAATATGTATTTTCTTAATGATCACTAATATAATTCATAAAAAGATGGCAAAATTTAAATGTATTAAACATATTCTTAATAAAAACAGAGAAATACATGCCATTAATATCTGTAAAATAAGAAACTTAGCCAATTTTTGTTTAAATGAAGGATTGCAGAATTGAGTACAACCTAGATTTAATTCAACCAAGTGTAATATTCTAGAACTTAATATGTCCTCCATAACTCTAAGTACACTGCTCTGACACTTCTTGGCACTGAGTGTACAAGTTCATGACAAATTTTCACATCTGTGCTGTTTAACTCCTGGAGGACGACCTCCTTAAATGCCCTGGTCTTTAATGGGGAGTGTTGCTCAGCTCATCTCTACAGAATCCTCCACAGCTGCTCAAGAGCGTTAAGATTGAGTGAAATACATGTCCACTGAAGGATTTTCAACTCAGGAGAACGAATATCTTCATTGTCATGTAAAAAAAAAAAA